TCCTTAATCGAGCTTTATTACGGTGTTCTTCAACTAAGTCCAAACTCACACGTAGAAGCGCTTCGTTGTCTGTTTCATTGTAAAATTCTCTCCGAAGTGAACTAGCTCCTACTTCTACTAGAACTATTGCCTCGCAGCCATATGCCAATGAGAAAGGTGTTTTTGAAGTAGAGGTCCTCGGAGTTGTTCTATATGCCCATAGAACTTCCGGGAGATCATCAGACCAATTGCCCTTGGTTGTGCCAAGGTTGACCTTCAATGTGTGCTTGATAGTCTTGTTGACAACTTCAACTTGACCATTGGCTTGTGGTCTTGCTGCTGAGGTGAATTTCTTTTGAATCTCCGACTTTTCGCAAAATTGCTTAAAATCCTCATTGCCGAATTGTTTTCCGTTATCAGAGATGAGTATATGAGGAATTCCATAGCGGTACACTATGTCCTTGAAGACGAAGTCTTTAAGCTTCTTGGTGGGGATCGTGGCTAAAGGTTTTGCTTTGACTCACTTAGTGAAATAATCCACTGCGACCACGACATATTTAACACCACCCTTACCGGTTCGCATAGGACCGAAGAGATCCATTCTCCACATAGCGAATGGCCAAGGATTGGTCATTGTTGTTAAGTGGTGAGATGTTTGTGAATCTCTAGCACTTATCACACTTCTTCACAAAGTTAAAGACATCTTCATGAAGTAGGGGTCAATAATATCTCTGACTGATAATTTTATTGGCAAGAGATCATGCAGGCAGTGTGATTACCATAGATCCCTTCATGTATCTCTCTCATGATGTAGTTTGCTTCTTCATCTGTTACACATCAGAGGAGGGGAGTGCTAAACCCCCATTTATACAACTGATCTTTGATGAGAGTGTAACGAGCAACCCTTATTCGCAAGAGTCTTGCCTCAGTCTTGCTATTAAAAAGAACCTCATCTTTGAGATACTGAATAGTTAGAGTCATCCAAGACAAGGATTCAATCGTAGCTATGACCTGATCGGGTGAGTTGATGTTGGGAACTTCGATGTATTTAACTGGGATACTGTCCGACGCATTGGAATCCAACGATAAGGCTATCTTTGCCAAAACATTCACGATAGAATTACTCTCTCTCGAGATCTGCCTGATCGTATAATGCTTGAAAGACTCGAGTACGACTTTGGGTTTCTTCAAGTAACTGATCATGTTCTCTTCTTTGGCTTGATACTTCCCCAGAATCTGATTGACTACCAGCTGGGAGTCGCTATTGATGTCGATCATATCTAATCCCATCTCTCTTGCTAGTTGCAAACTAGCAAATAATGCCTTATACTCAACCTCATTATTAGTAGCTTTGAATCCGAACCTAAGGGCTCCATAAATACGAGTTCCCTCAAGACTAACGAGCAGAAGACCAGCTCTAGCTCTTCTTCTATTCGAAAACCCATCAACGTGGAGACTCCGATTGACAAGTTTCGAATAGTTTCTTGGATACCTTCACTAGCTGGCAATTCAGGTTCTTGATCTGGCTGATATGAAAACTCCAAAATGAAATCAGCAACAACTTACCCTTTGATTGTTGCTTTAAGTCTATAATGCAGATCGAATTGACTTAGTTCCATAGCCCACTTGAACAACTTACCCGAAGCCTTCGGCTTCTGAAGGACCTGCTTAAGTGAGATATTCGTCGATACATGAATGGTGTGGGCATGGAAGTAAGGTCTCAGCTTCCTGGAAGCAATCAGCAATGCATAAGCTAATCGTTCCATCTCTAGATACCTTGCTCGGCGTTTAGTAGTCGTTTTCTCATGTAATACACTGACCACTGAATTCCGCCCTCTTCCCGAATGAGAGCTGTGTTGACCGCATACTGAGAGACGGACATGTAGAGAGATGAAATGTCCTTGGGAAGGGGCGTGGACATGAGAGGTGGTTTTTCGAGATGCTCTTTTATGCTTTGGAAAGCTCGTTCTCACTTTGGAGTTCATTCAAATTTCTTATTGGCTCTAAGTATATTGAAGAACAACAAACAACGATCTATTGCTCTTGATCTGAAGTGACTGAGAGCTGCTATTCTCCCATTCAAGCTCTAGACTTGTTTTTTATTGGTGGGACTTTTCATATCTAGAAGAGTTTGGATCTTCACGGGATTGACTTTAATTCCCTGATGGTTAACCATATACCCTAGGAATTTTCCTAAGGATACTCCGAGTGAACACTTAAGAGGATTAAATTTCATTCTATATCTTCAGAGTATATCAAACATTTCCGCGAGATTGGCTATATGGTCTAAAGCAACATGCGATTTGACTAGCATGATTATGCCTAAAAAATCAGATTTCATGATCATGAAATTCTCAGCTTCAATTCTTGGACCGGGGAGCTCCTGTTATGCCTAAAAAATTAAGGTTGACGTAAGCTTACATTAGCAAGCACCAATCATAGTTCAGGAAGGCTTTGCGCTGTCTAGGAGCTGCCATGTTGCCCTATGATAGACTATTTGCAAGTGTACGAAATCGCGCAAGTAGTAAAGCTTGAGTAAACGAGTGTCGAATCCCAAGAGAACTACTTACCAAGTACCAAACCAATCTATTTTATTACTATTTGATAAAACATAATTTTAAGAATAATTTAATGAAAAATAAAACAAATTAAAAACTAAGCAAAAGCAGAATTTTATTAATATCTTGTAAAAATATCAATATGACTAAACCTAAGGCACAGATTTCACACCAATTTAATCCTATGCATTGACAATTATTGCTAACCTAATTAATTAGCTTATTCTAAAGGTCAAACTCCCTAATATTTCATTAATTTTCTCTCGAACAATTAGCGAATTAACCCTTAAGCAACAATCCAAAATATCTCTAAAGTGGATTTAAAAGCTAAGAGATCATTAAGTTCCATAGAATTTACCAGAGCCTCATAGATCGCGATAACCTATCTCTAACGTTTGCTCAATCTATGGTTTTATTACCTTAGACTAATCAAGTTTCATCTCTTGATCTCTACCTAACTCATAAAATCATTCAACTCTCAGAACCTTAAGAATTGAAAGCATTACACACAATAATAAAACTTAGAATTAATGTTCAATTAAAATTAACAACAATAATGTCAACACATATTCATAAATTGGGTTACATCTTTAGCCCTAGAAAATAAATTTAGTTCATAATTGCAATACTAGAAACAACCATTGTATTGAATAACATGAGTTCAAGAAATAAAATAGAAAAATTTCTCTAATTGGTGAACGAAAACGGCAAGAATTTTGATCTCCAAAATAGTAGCCGCTTTCTCTCCTTCTCTAATCTCCCTAAACTTTCTCTCCTTCTCTAATCTCCCTAAAAACTAATTAAAGACCCTTATTTATAGTGCTAAGGTTTGGAGTTTAAATAGGAAAGAATTAAATGCCTTAAACAATTCAAATTCGGACTAGGAAAATAAAATAATCCAAACAAGCCAGGAATCCATTGATGCAGCAATAGAAACAGTCATTGCAGTGATCGTTCTCTCTGTCCCATGAGTTTGGAATATTTATAATTTGGCAAAGTCGTCAACACAAACTTTGTAGCCCTCTGAATAAGCTTTCTAACGCCATAAGAATCATCAAATCCTAATTTCTACCGCTCAAGTTATGGTCAAAACATTGAAGCATGCTCATCTTGAAGAATTTCCAGGTTTTAAGTCTCATCTTCAACGCATCATAATTTTCTTGTTTCAACTCCGACTCTTGCACCGTTTGTTCCTACTTATCACAATTTCCATCGACATCATTCTTCTTTATTCAAATATCCTTTATAACCTGAAAATACTCAACGTACACCCATGATCCCAACTCAAATTTCACAATAAAAACACATTTTTTAACAAATAATCCAATTGAATCACTAACAAAACATGTATTTTCTAGCTCTTATCACCCCAAGATAGAGAGAATACAGATGTCACCAACTCAACAGATTTAGGTTTTGTCTATAAGTGAATGGGGACCACACACTTGTCCAAGCCCTAGATAATTTAAAGATATTTCCGAAGTTATAAATCAATGGGAGGCAAGGAAAGACTTGCATGGCACCTACCCATTTGCAGACTTGTAATCATTACCTTGAATTCAGTAGCTATAAATATAGGACTCCCCCTCTCAAATTCGAGATATTTACTTTCATAACAATCAATAGCAAAGACAACCTACGGGAAAGAGGCCGACTTAATATTATCTCTGAATACTCAGTCATTGTAACTCTGTTCGCTGTTCGCTTTATGTGACCTCTTGTAACACTCACATATATAAAAGAAATAGTGGACTTAGGAATCGCTTTAAGAATCTAAACCACTATAAAAATCATGTGTCTCATTTATTATTCAGTCTTTGCTCTCATTTGTGTTTATAACCTTGTGCTAATCCCTAAATCAATTTCACATATAATTTCTAAGATTAGTTTAGCACTTTGATTGATGTTATATGTCTACTTGTTTTTGTTTGTGGGGTCTTCCTCTTCATGCTTTGTTCATTTCAGAAACAGAGATGGAATTAGGAATTTAGTTTAGTTTCGTTAGATTCTTAAAATTTCTGGGATTGCATGAAGGGTCGTGTTCCTGTTAAGAACAGCAAAATGGTTGAAAGAATTTACATTACTTGATGATCCGTAATACATAAATGGTATAAATTTCTGAAGATTGACACAGTATCTGTGAAACCCACATAAAAGAATCCAATCTAATGTGCCATTATATCACTATGTTGTAATGATGATGTTGGCTCTGATGGCTTTTCTTCTGCTTACCGAAGCATATGCACAAGCACAGCATATAAGACCTTTCGCCGCCTCCCTGAAAGAATAGTTCAACTTGCTACGCATATTTTCTGGTCATAGAAAAGAACATAAATACATTGGACAAATCCAGATGAGGAAATGATCAATGGTTAAAGCTAGATAATTAGAAAGATGAACCATAGCCAGCTCAGAAAGAGATCCAATCCATAAGGAAAAAGAGAAATTACATAGGAGAAATAATTTATGTATGATCTATAATCTGAACTAGTCCTTCAATTATTACAACACTTATGTACAGTAACAAGCCTAAATGTAAAAAAATAGAAACAAAATCTTTCAAGTATTCCTGTCCTCGTTAATACAATTTGATTTAGATTTATGATTCATCTCCCCACCATTGTTGTATCAGACCAAGATATTGACATGGAAGAAGAAAGGGACTGCTTGATATCTTTGAATGTTGGATGTATTGCAAAGCTAGAGCTACTAAAACTTTGAGAATAATTGGACCACATATCCTTGGACTTCTGCAACAAATATGCATCCATGTCCTCCGTTTCATACTCAAAAGCCTCGGTCCTTCCTTCTAACACTTTCACCACTTGTCTCATGGTTGGTCTTGCACTAGGATCTGGAAAAGCACACAACATTCCTAACTGCATTACCCTCTCTACTTCCTCCTCATTGAAACCTCCTTTCATCCTCAATCGCTCGTCTAATGCATCTAGTAATTTTCCTGCCACCATCATTTGTGATACCATTTCCACCAAATTCGGCTTCCCTGCCTCTATAGGTCTCCTCCCACACATGACCTCTAAAACCAAGATCCCAAATCCAAACACATCAGTTTGCGCTGAAGCTCGTCCAGTGGTGATCACTTCCGGCGCCAAGTAGCCTACGGTGCCAACCACACGAGTCGTGCTAGCCACTTGACCGTGGCTGTGCATCCGGGCTAAACCAAAATCACCTAGCCTTCCATTCATATCCTTATCAAGTAACACATTGCTGGCCTTAATGTCCCTGTGTAGCACTTTTTTTTCCCATCCCTCATGCAGGTATGATACCCCAGAAGCCACATCTTTCAGAATCCTTATTCTCTCTTCACAGCTCAACATTTTACTCTCATCACATTCAAAAATTCTCTTGTCTAAACTTCCATTTTCCATGTAATCATACATCAACATGAAGCTCCCTTTTTCTCTCTTACACCAACCTCTCAATGCCACCAAATTCCTGTGTTTAAGTCTTCCAAGGGTTGCAATTTCTGCCAGAAATGCTCTCATTCCTTCATTTTCATGTGAAATGCACTTCACTGCAATCTCAGCTCCTCCTGCCAAAACTCCTTTATAGACCTTTCCATTTCCTCCAATACCAATCACATTTTCCTCAGAAAATCCCTTTGTTGCTGCTTCAATTTCTTGATAAGTAACTCTGTGAGGCCAATACTCCAATTCCCAATCTTCCATTTCCGCTCTCTCCCTTGCTATCCTTCGTCTTCTCTTTATCAAAAACAGAGAAAACAGAACACAAGAAACAACAACGAAGAAACTGCCAACTGTTGCTCCTGCAATAAACCACTTTGATTTAAAAAATGGAGTCCTTGGAAGAACAAAAGATGGCAAACCATTAGTGATCAACTTTTCACTCAACGAAAAATTTGTATTACTGAAACTCCAAGCCAAAATCTTGTGACTTTCAACTAATTGTCCTGTCGATGCCGTGAACCCAACATACATTTGATCCTCAAAAACATCAGACAAGTTGAGAGAAACATTCAATAAAGGCCTTTTAGGCCTCTCCGTGCCTGCCACTGCCATAGTTACATTAATCAAAGAATCTGCATAGTCAATCCAAACCTGATAATTTTTACCATTGTTTAACTTCAGTTTCTTGAATGACTCGGCATCATCATTTGAATTGTCAGGCCAATATCCCGCTGGTTGTGCAGTCATAGAATAAAGAGAATTTACATCAATTCCAACATGGTTGTCGTCAATATCATTGAACTCTTCGTTCTTAAAAACATCGAACTCGATTCCAAAAACATGGTTATTGGGATCACGATCGTTTGTGCGGTTGAAAAGGCCGAGATTTTGAGATGCCGTGGCGCCTTCAATACCAGTAAATGGTACAAAAAGCAAAACCAGGCCGTGGCCCGCGAGATTATTCTTGTAAGGAGCCATGGCGAAGATAAAAGAAGTTGAAAATGGGTATACATAAGAAGAGTTTGGCTTCTTTGTTGGGATTTTTGATGGATAAAGAGCCCGACCAATTGTGAAAGATGTTTCATTGGTAAGAGTAAGAATACGAGATTCAAGGGTGGCACTGCCATATAGTAACAAGTTAGAGGAATTGAAACCATTGAAGACAAAATCAATTGCATAAATGGGTTGAAAACATAGGAGAAAAGACAATACACTAAACAGGAGAAGCTTCAGGTTGTTCACCATTGCAGCAATGAAGCTAAAGCTTTTCTGTCATGGGAAACTTTAGGTGGATAAGATGTGAGAAAAATGCAATGAAACAGATGTGGGAACAAGGATGGTTGGAGAGAGAGGTCAAGTTAGCTGAAGAAAGAGTTTTCGAAAATTACTAGTCAACATTTTTTGGGTGGATACTGGGGTTATGATTTTGCCCTTGGATGGTTAAAAAAACTACAATAATTGGCATTTTTTATAATTTATAGGTAGTTGCTGACTCATAAATTCATGAGGCAAAGTGGTTGAGCTCATTCAACCATCAAGCCCACAGGTTCTATCATCTTCCTAAAATTTTACTTGTAGGAAACTACATCAACCATGAAATCTTTGAACATCTACTACAAAAAAAAAAAAAAAAAAAAAAAAAAAAGCCATGTTTTGTAGTGGGAATGGTGCGGAACAGCTGAAAAATGTATTGATTATTGTTGACGTTTGATTTTGGACGCTAACAACTCGCACGTGCAAAATGCTAAGAGTGTTTTAGAAATTACACATGATGGATTCATGAGATTTGAATATGGAGCTGAGATTATGTATGTTACAGAAAACATAAATAATAGGCTAACAAGAGAGGTTTTTATAGTGGTTCGAATGCTTAAATAAGTGACTCCTACATCCATTGTTATTTTATTGATCTCTGATTATTTCTATAATATTGCCCGTAAGACATACAAAGATGAAGAAATACAGTGTTTACAGAGAAAAAGAATTGAACTCAAATCTATGATTAGCTTTCATATGCCTCGTCTCCCTTTTCAAGAAGAGAAGTGTCAATTTATATACCTTTGAGGTTAGTGTAATGAGTGTGTTGCAAATTGCCTTGACACATAAAAGGTTCTTGTCCATTCATTTCTTGAAATGAGATAGGGTTGGTATGAATATCTTTGAGTAAATATGAGCTTGACAGCTAGTACAAAAAAATATTTATTGAACTGACATAGACGTAACTTTTTAGGCATAACAATTATAACATAATTCTGCTAGCATTACCAAGCCGGGACCAATTTTTTATTCTTCCCTCTTCGTTTTGAAAGGGACAGTGCATGTAACGCCACTTGCAGTTTTTCTACGTTGATTTTTCTAATCCAACTTTGCCTAGTACTAATTTTATTGATAACTAATAGAACCTACATAAACCAGGGATTCAGGAAACAGTCTTTTACCAAAACTGTTATAATAGCTTTGAAGTCTGAAGCCCTTAAATTAGGGGACGCAGTTTCCAGGTTTAATTTTCAAGTGGGCAAATTTGATTAAGGGTATTTTTGTTCTTTCAGGAAAAGCTAATCCTTGAATGTTAAGTTTTACTTTTATTATGGAATTGAAGAGTCAAAGAAAGGGGGATTGAATTTTGTCAACTTTCAAAAGTTAGAAACATAAAATATACAAAGAAATGAGAAAATATTGCAGACAAAATAAAGTCAGCGATGATGTTAGCGGCAGGCAGCCGGCCATTCCAGAAAAATGTACGAGTGGGAACAAGTTAGACAAGTTAAAGATCAAAGATCGAGATACAAGTTTTTTCCAGGATACAGAATTTGTACGGTACTGACTTGTCGTTATGCCAAATTACCGAATAAAATGTTGACAGATATCTGAAAAAGACAGTTACTTGACCTCTATAATTGAAATATAAAATTAATGGTAGAAGAAGAATGAGATACTATAAAAAACTTTATTGGTATTATTTAGGAAATTTTGAATTCGGGTGTTTTTAAGATATTAAAAAAGATAGTTATTGGAGTATGAAATTGTTATAATGTCAATAAAATTAATTGAGATGCATGTGAGTTAATTTAGATAACTCGATTATAATAAATAAATAAATAAATAAGAATAAGATAATAAAAGATATAATTATGACTTAAAACATAATTAATCAATTGTTTTAGTTGACAAAATGGCCAATTTAATATGAGAAATACGTGTAAAAGTCTGTATGTAATGTAAACCAATCAGATTCCGGGGACAATATCATTGGGAAACTCTTAGAAATGATTGAAAATTAAGCATTCTTGTTAATGGCTGTTTAGAGGTTAGAGAAAAATCATAATGAAGTAGTTAAAAGTTAATTAAATAGATCATTATACCACCTTCTTTCTAAATGAAATCATATTCAGAACTGTATAAAATATTATTATAAACTATTCTTAAAAGTTTGCAATTTTATTAGATGGATAATAGCTTTACTAGTTTTTATCAACAGTGCCCCTTACAGTTTTAAAAACATATCATTAACACCCCTTTGTCCTTGATCTATCAAATTAACATTATAATTAAATGGGTAAAGTATTATTAATACTTCTTAATATGTTATTTCACTAATGTCCAATTGAATAAATCTTTTTTAAATTACAAAAGAGAATTAAAAATTAAAATAGAAGATAAAAAAAAAAATTGGAGTTAAAGGCAAAAAGATATCAATGTTAAACTACCTCTAGATAGCGAGTGGTTCAATAGGGATTCTTTAGTGTATTATTCAAGAGGTCCTGATTACGAGTTCTTCCTCTATTGCTAATAGAGGTAGCTATTGGAGTTCTTATTTGGCTGGTAGTTTCAGGATCCTGAAATATTAGTTGAGGTGCGTGTAAGTTGGTTCAAATACTCTCGGTCGTCAAAAAAAAAAAAAAAAAAAGATATCAATGTTATGGTTTTAAAAATGTGAGACATAAGTATGATAAAACTTTACAAAGTTACCATGAGAACGATATGCTTTTGAAACCATAAAGGATATCTTTGATAAAAATTGGCAAAACTATTCTCTACATGATGAAAATGCAAATTTTATGGGTAGTTTATGATAAAATCCCTATTGAGAACTTGTTAGGTGGCTTGGTTTCCCATGATTGGGCAGCGTCCTAAACGCCAATTAAAATGGTGACAAGTGAATTCATTTTACCATGTGGAATCATAATTGCCATGGCAGAAACATCTTTTCTTCCTATGGTTAATTTACTGCTAAGTGAATCAAAACTTTGCACAATAGGAGCTATCAATTATTATCCATCCAGAAAAAATTAAGGCTGAAAATCAATTTATTGACAAAATTTCATCGATCTGTTGTTAGGACAAGATATTTTTATACATGAGTAATACTAGCCTTACAAAGAGGCATACAAAGACCCATACAAAGAGTCAAATCCAACCCTTGAAAGAAGGGAAAAAGAGAGAGAGAAAGAGGTAATCATGAATTTCAAGGGCTGGATTTGACTCTTTGTATGGGTCTTTGTATGTCTCTTTGTAAGGCTAGTATTACTCTTTTATACATTATGTATGAATGGATATTTTATTACTTACGAGAGTTCTAATATGATATGACAAGATACAGGCAAGGCCTCAAATTTCAACCACAAATGAGACGTAGAGACGGAGACAATCTCCTTTTATCAGCAAAGCAAACCGGTCCCTCAGGTATTTGAAACATTTAAAGTCTCATCCACGAGTGTGTGGTTGCAATCTACATGAGAATAATATATCTTAGCTCTTCTTCTTCAATTGGACTACAAGCTGATCTCTCAGTGGTGTAGAGTTGTTAATTAAGACTCATCATGTTAACCTACTAATATTATTTATAGTTTCATTTTTGTTAATTTAGAGTAGATAAAGTGATAAACAAATTTACTCGAGAAACACCTAAAGTTAGTAAAAAATGATGATCATGATTTGCATTATTTCATCTAAGCTAATACTAATATGCAACTAATAACTGATATAAGAGATAGGTTCAAAGCATACATTTTTGTTAGGTGATTGCGCAGCGAAAAACATATATTCGAGATTAACAACATAGGAATAAAATCACACCACACAAAGATACACAATATTTAAGTGGTTCGGCATAACCAACCTACATCCACGGATGAGAGAAATCCGCTATAGTTTCATGAACACAATATACAAAAGTGCATAACATCATAAACCTGATACGTAAAATAGAGCGGAAACAATCCTAGTTTCTAACCACGCTCAACCCAGTATCTAGAGCGGAAACAATCCAAGTTTCTAAGATACTCTCCTCGTGGTTTTTAATTAACCTTATATCAAACACCATGTGTTCTCACATTCCCTCATAACCTTGACTTGGTTTCTACCCCTATATTTATAGGTATCATATGAGATATTCTTTTCCTAAAGGATTCATATTTCAATTCCTGATATATAGGATTCCTAAATTCTATTCCCATTTAACAATTGTATTCTTTATTAAATAGTTTTTCTAAAGACATACAATTTCACATAAGAACAAATAGGAAAGCGAGCCACAAATATCACAACAATTTTGCAGGTTTGGATTTTAATTTTCAAGTATGTTAATGGAACTTCTTTTCCTCACATATTCAAGATTCTTAAAGCTTGTTTTTTCTCTATTGTAGTGTAATGGAGGTATATTATGATGAAAATCGGGTAAAAAGTAAGAGTAGTCTTAAAATGCTAAAGTCCCACATATATAAGAAAGGAAAAGATTTGACCTCTCTTTGTCTTTTCGGAAGAATAGATACATATTTGTTATACTCTGCACTATATTTACGAGGGGTGTGCAAAAGAACCATCTGGAATCTAAACCGGCAGGGTTCCATTTTCGGTTCCTACCCGGGTACCCAGTGAGGGCCGATTCTGGGTAGGAATCGAGATTGAATATAATTTTTGTAAACTTTTGGGGTGTATTTGTAATTTTTTTGGGTGTATTTGTCATTTTTTTTAATTATAGAGGGTAAATGTAATTTTCTTGAGTACACGGAACCGAAACCAAAACTTGAACCTATGTCATAGGTTCTGGTTCCAAGCTTTTAGAAATCGGAACCTACCATTTTCGATTTTGATTCCAAATCCCTGAAACCGGTCGGTTTCGATTCCATGGGATTTGGGTGGGCACCCAGACCCGCCTACCCTAACATTTACTGACCTAACCTCTTTGTGGGTGTGCTTAATATACTCTCTGCAAGAGGTGGAAAAGTAACCCGCCCGGCCCGCGGCGGGTTACTTAATTAGGCGGGTTGGTCCTAACCTGCCCGCCAACAAAGGCAGGCCGGGTTAGGCCCACCATTTTTGGGAAAATGGCTGGCCCAGCCTGGCTCGCCAACCCTAACCCGTCGGGTTAGGCTGCGGGTCAGGCCGGGTTAGCCCTATTTTTTTATTTTTTTTTGTTT